AGTTCAGTGGGTCCATGTGGTTGAGTATCAGAGTGTTCCATCTCATTTCCCTTTGGGGTGCTGTAGGTGATCTGGAAGTCTGGTTTTGAGACTTATTTACGTGTTTTCTCATTTCAACTGGGGTGGGGGTGGTTGGCACCTGCACAGATTACCTCCTCTGAGCTGGGAGAGGTGGGCCAGGGGCCAGGAGCAGCGGTAGGGATGGTGGCCCAAAAGCCCTTTCCTCTGGGCTGGGAGCAGCGGGAGGGATGGTGGCCGGGAGGCCCCTTCCTCTGGGCCAGGAGCGATGGGACTCAGTACTGTGGTCTGGTGGTCCAGTGTCCTCTGTGTCTTTGTAGTGTGGAACCAGGTGGCTGCCTGTCAGCAGCGGGCTGATTCAGCATCTTCCGTGCAACTCACGACCTCGGCAGGGTGTCCTAATTCCAATTTCTTATTCAGCCACAAACATAAAGTACAGTGTTCTGGTGGATGCGTGACTGAAAGAGCATTTGTTATGATGGCACACGCCAAACGGAAGGATGAGCACCCCAGCTTGCCTGTACGAGGCCTTCTAACACCCAGGAGACCAAGTGTGTATTTATCTATTTACTGGGAAAGCTTCTGTGGTGCTTATACTTACTTACAGTTCATTTGGTTACCAAGAATCTGGATTTTAAAATGCCCAAAGTATACGTGCCAGCACTTAACTGACACAGGCATCAAGCACTGAGAAGTGACAGCACAAAACTGTACAAGGAGCATGCCGCTTCAGCACATTCACAGTGCCTGCAGGATCCTGCTCCCACTTTGTTCATTCCCAGCAAAGCTTACAAACCCTGAGGCCAGAAATCATGATTCTTTTTCAAAACATTACTCTGAATTCAAAATTCTGATAGTTTGGAGTTTTAAAATCCTTTGGCAGAAGGTTTTAATGATTAGATGAATAATGGGAAGCATCCTGCTGGATAAACCAAACTCCTCAGTTTCAGCCAAACTCTGGGGCCCATGCAGCCATTGCTCCTGTTTTAGAATTCTGGAGACCTCTCCCTGCTGCGAGCCAGTGGCCCAGGTGAGGGAGCTGCAAGTGCCTGGACTCTGTGCCAGCTGCTGTCAAGCAGGTCCTGTGGCCACACAGGCCTGGAGCACCCTCTCCCATACTGCTGCTTCTCCCAGGGGCTGGGCCCCAGCCACTTCTCCTCCTCCTCCCATACCCTCAAGGTATCCAAATGGACCAGGCACTCTTTCAGCTCAGTCAAAATCACAGCCTGGTGCGTGTTTTTAGTCAAAGGAAATCTTTAGCACAAAAGAGAGAAATTCTAAGCATCATTAGACATTTCATCTTAAGAACATCCCCAACTAAAATATTATAACACCAGGAAGGGCCAGGCCTAGGGGAAGGCCAAGCCCTCAACAGCTTCCTCCAGGCGGCAGAGGGTAATGGAAAGAGACGTCTTAGAGACACAGAACTGAATCTTCCTGCCAGCTGGTAACTGCCTGGCACTGTGATCTTGGGCATGTTATCTATCATCACGGTGCTTTGGTTTATCTACAGAAAGAAATGAGTATTTGCCAAGTGTGGGTGTGGGGAGTCTAGATAATGTGTGCTGTGGCCAAGCAGCGCTTGGTGTGTGACAGGCACTGAATGTGTTGATTTCTGAGGGCGGTGAGCGGGTGGAGGGGCTGCTCCTCCGAGAAGCAGAAGCTGTCTCTGGTCCTGCCGCGCCTGCGGGGCCCTCACACTGGACTGCCCCTCGCCCCTCCCGGGATGGGATGGAATCTCCTGGCTGACGGGTGCCTGCCTGTGTTAACGCAGTCGGTGACGGGGGTCTCCAGGGGCCCTGTGTCCTTCCAAGAATCACTGGCAGCAGTGAGAGAGTTGTGGCCAGTGATGTGGAAGCCACCCTGACTGGGTCAGAGAACCCAGCTGTCATTACAGCAGACACGATGTTCCTGGGGATGCAGAACAAGTCAGATCTTCTTTCCCATGGGGTCTGAGTGTCCTGGGTGCTCAGCTGGGGTTGGGGCAGTGGAGGAGGCACCAGGAGCAAGGCAGGGACTCCAGGCACAGAGAGGAAGACAGGCGACCATGGAGGTGTCTGAGAAACCCCAAGAGCCGACAGGCAGACAAGAGGCTCCCCAAAGCCTCTGTCAGCTTCAGATCTGCATTTATAGAGGATGTCAGAGAAACCCCAAACTCAGAAACTTTACCTAGGATTCTGTCTTTGGTTTCCAATTGTCCAGCTCCAAACTGTTTCCTGCAACTCAGAACTGGCTCAGCTCTGCCACCAACAGCACATCCCACATGGACAGCCACCATCTCAGGTTGTTTAGGAAAGTCTAGAGCAGCTGCTGTGACCCCCCACACCAGGTCTCCGCTGCAACATCCGCATGGGAGAGGCTCCCTGACCCCGACCCCAAGTAGCAGCATCAGGCGTTGGAACAGGGGTGGCATCGTCTTCAGATGTCGTGATTTTCCCACTCTGTATTTTCTGTTCTCACCCCGGAGCTGCTCTGGGCACACCTGTTTGCTCCTTCTTCCCCTTATGGCTGCAGCCCTCCTTGGAGCTACCCCAAGTCGCAGCCCCGGTGGCGAGGCCCAGAGCCCCAGGCAGTGAGGCCCGAGCTGTGGTCACACCTTAACCTTCCCTGCTCACCGACACCACCGCTCTGTTCCTACCGTGCTGCTCCACAGAGCTGGTGAAGAGGAGATGGGCAGAGGCACAGGCCGGGGACTCGACATCCACATCTCCCAGCCTCAGAAGCAGCTTCTTCCCCTTTGGGACTGCAATCGTCTTCTCACAAATGGTGTGGTTGGGGTAAGTGCCCGGGTAGTTCTTAGACGTCATCGTGCCGCTGTCCTGAGAGGTCACCATGTGCCCACAACCATCACCTGGCAAGAAAAGAAAACGGATGAAAGATGTGTGACCATTCTTACTAACGACCAACAGTCCAGTACAATCTCCAGCGTCTGTATTTTATTCTTTTTTTTTTTTAAGAGGAGGAAAAGCTAATTTAATGACAGAATCATTAAGCAGCCTGTCCTTCCAGGTTGCTTCATCTGCTTCCCAGTTTGACCTTCTGTGCATTGTCAGTGGGGATGTTTCACAGGCTGGCTCGGAAGGGAAAGCCACGGGAAACTCATCATTCCGTCACACACTGCCTCCAGCCCTCCGTTCCTCCCTGTTCAGCCCATCCAGCAGGCCGAGGCACACAGGGCTCCGCCACCCCATACCAGTGCCATGCAAGTCTGCACCAGAGCACATACAACTCACGCCACACACCGCACTGATGAATGAAAAATGCACAGAGTGCTCCCGGCAGATCTCAGGCTCCGTCTAGAGGACTTCGTTTGCCAGTTGACTGGGGATGGAGCCTAACAACTATCCTACACCTAGGTCTCAGTTAATGACAGTCACAGGTCTGAGGGCTGCCGACAGAAACGATATCATTAGAAAGCACTGGGAGCCGCTGTCTTGAGCAGATCTCGAATACCACACGTGGCATTAACTGGTGGGGACAGGAAAGCAGCACAGCTGCCTCATGGAACACAGGGGAAAATGAGAGACAGTCACATGGCCGAGTGACCAAGTCCAGGTGTTACGTGAACTATCAAGGAAGCTCAAGCCAACACCCAGGGAGTGAGGCAAGACAGAATCTGTCTCCAGATGCTATGAGTACCTCACCAAACACAGAAGTTATCACAAGGCTTCTCCACCTCGGGAAGGCCATCAGCAAGCCAACGAGCTACAATGGTTGATAAAAGGATCAAATTAACCACACAAACATCAGATGTCCATGCAGCGTGGTGGGCGGCACACACCGCGCCTGAACAACAGCACGGTTAGCTGAGCTGCACGCAGGCCAAGGAAGCACTCAGCCCAGGCTGGGGGAGGCAGGGCAGATGGCTGAAAAGGGTGCTGAGGTGTGAGGTGCAGGCATTTCCCCTGGTTCCGCCACAGGATGTTGGCTGGGAGTCTGCAGAGCCCAAAGCAGCCTCATCCTTCCCAGCCACCTCCTTGCCATAGTGGAGTTGCAGGGCTTAGCTGGCATCTTCCCTTACTCTACTTCCTTTCTGCTCCCAGCCTTCCAACGATGGTAACAGAAGATGAGAATACAAGAGGGCTGTAACCCCAGAATCACCCCACCCCAGAGCCGAGGCCAGCCCCCAGAGCCCCCCACGATCCTGGGTTGGAGGGGGAGTGAGCTGGTGCTGACGAGCAGCAGGCCAAAGAATGCAGGGCAGACATGATGGAGACAGGTGGCTGGAGGCGAACAACCTGAGGCCTGCTCAGGAAGGCAGGGAAACGTGACGAAGGCAGCTGGGGTGGAGACCTGAGGCCTGGCTGTCTGGGCAGAGGTGTGGAGGTCACACAGTTGGCCATGAGGACCCATGGGCTGTGCTGAAGAGGGAAAGAGGAGGCCAGAGAGAGACGCCCAACCTGGCAGGTAATGCTGCAGCAACCAGGAACTAGAATGGGGGAGGCAGGAAAGAAAGACAACACTGAGGTGATTTTGCTTTTGTTTATGTTCTTCAGGTGCTGGGGATGGACTGGGGCCTCACACAGCTGGACAAGTGCTCAACGACTGAGCTGCAGCCCAGTCACCCACTTTTAATTTTATTTTGAGACCGTCATGTTAAATTGTCTCAGTTGGCTTCAAACTTCCAATCCTTCTGCATCAGCCTCCTGAGTGGCTGAGAAGACAAGTATCACCCACACCTGGGTGACAGAGGACTTAGTTCAGAAATGAGGTTAGTGAGACAGGAAGGCAGACACAGCAAGGGAACGCAGAGCAAAGGCTGTAAGGTGACCAGTTAAGGTGGAGGTGAGAGCTCCTTCCCTGGGCTCCGGGGAAGTTGTCAGAGGGCTTTGATTTAAAATCTGAGTTCTTGGGCTGGGGATTTAGCTCAGTGGTTCTGCTGCCTGCCTTGCAAGCACAAGGACCTGAGTTCAATCCCTGGTACCAATAAATAAATAAATAAATAAAATAAAATCAAAATCCGAGTTCTTGGGGCCACCGTACCATTGCCCACAAAGCCGAAGAGCAGAGCCTCCCCAGTGCAGAGGTGAGCCCCACAGGCACCAGCACCTCCCCCTCATTGAACTGAGAAGACACAGAAACAAGTCTCAAAACCAGATTCCAGATCAACTACACCAACCCCAAAGGGAAATGACATGGGACACTCTGATGCTCAACCACCTGGACTCCCTGAACTGGCAACAAACGAGGATTTGGAAAAAATGAAATCAGAAATAATTTCTCAGATTACAGCAAAGATTGTGCCCATAGTGCAAGACATGATTAATAAATCTAGAGAGGACACAGATAAAAAAATAGAGGATCTGAGAAGCATGATGGAATCCCAATATAGGAAACAAATGGAATCCATAAAACAGATACAAACAGATTTCCAAGAGATTAAAAACTTCACTGAAAGTCTATGCAGCAGAATGAGCCAATGTGAGGATAGAATTTTAGATATAGAAGATAATATTGCAATTAGTGACCAGGAAAAGAAAAACTGCTTTAAAACAGTAAGGGACCAAGAAAAATCAATCTAGCAGCTGCTAGACGATGTAAAGAAGAATAACATAAGACTGATAGGAGTCAATGAAGAAACAGGAGAGAGTCCAGATGACATAAAAACTGTTCACAGAAGTGATGGCAGAAAACTTCCCAAGGAGGGGAAAAGAACTTGACATACAGGTAAGTGAGGCATAGAGGACTCCAAATAGCCTTGATCAAAAAAAAATCTACACATAGGCATATAATAGTTAGGATTC